TGAACAAAATTGAAGGAACCGAATAAGTGATTGAAACTGTCGTTTGAGCAGTATGCTATATTTATCAGCCACCCACTGACCTAGGAGACCTTCCCAAATGATTTTGAACAGGTAACATAATTGCCACTATATAGAACAGTTGTCTGGTACACAGGCAGAATATTATACAGCAGTAAACAATTGAACACACACTAACTAAAATCAGTTAATTTTAATTCACTTCCTCTTAACAATACAATTAATCATACACCTTCATTGTTAATTCTCTCATATATTAAATTCTAACCATTGTTGAAGTATAATTGTCATCGTAGATTCCTTACAGAATAATTTAGCCAAATACTGGCACTTATCAAACATGCATTTTCTAAGATTACAAAAAAAGATACTTTCTAAAAGAATAAAAAAAAAAGATGTTTGTGTTTCTGAGATTGTCAGGTGACAAGTTTATTTCTATAATATTTTAGCTGTGACACGAGTACACCTTTTTGGAAATACAAGAATCTACAATATTCTATTAAAAAAAAACCTGGTAGCTACAGATTACCCATGAAGTCATTTAAAAATTATATATAGGTTGGTAGAAATTAAATTTATGTAATAGAAATAATACTGCACAGTGAAAAAATATATCGCTACATTTGTTACTACACAAATTGAATTAACTCGTCCAACATGAAGTCCTCAAATTAGAAATATTAGCATGGTACTAAGCATAGAAGACTGATATTTAGAACTGTCCATCACTCAAACACTTGCAGTAAAGTTCTATCCGTCTGTAAGACATATGCATGGTCTTGAGATTACAAAACATCATATTGGTGAATTTGATTATTGCAAAACTATCCCTTTATGAGCTGATCCTGGTGTATTATATAATATTGGCCTGGAAACCAACAATAAATCTTACCAGAATTCAAATAATTGTACGTTATCTCATAATTAAAATATGGCTTTGAGGAATAAATTAAAAAATCCTTTGTTTTTTGTTGAAATAAAAAACTCCTGTTATTACAACTCCAAGTATTGCCGTGACAACAAACCATGTGGCATGACTATTGGATTTAGAGATGGTTCCTCACTTACATCATTCTGGTATCTTTCCTGCAAACAGAAAAATAAATAAATGAACTCAGTTATGCACATAATGCGAGTTAAGGTGAAATCTTGCATGTAAATGATACTTTAAAACACTTTAAATTTCAAGTGTGACTTTTGAATCAGGCCAATCTGATTAAAATCCAATGCAGGGATCTCACAAGCAGCCAATCAAAAATTGTGTAACAGATCACTTTCTAGTAAGGCATGTTGTAATTGGTTGTCTGACCATTCAGGCTACTTTCCAGTATTTGTTGAAAAATTGAGCTGCAATTTAGTTGCATGTTGAGGTGACCTCGCCAGTGACAGATATTAAAAGCAAACAGAGTTTCTACCCACACAAGATTTTAATCAGGAAGACACTGGTCCAACATAAATTCATGAGACCCAAAATCTTTCCTACCATAATGGATTTTTCTGCTTCTTGCTGCACTATAAGACGTACAGTACTGCCAGCATTTACAAACAATTTGACTACTTCATCATGTTCCATACCATTTACTTCAATACCATTAATCTGACAATGAAATAAACCAGTAATAATATTTAACAGGTCATTTGAAGTCAAGAAGTAATATAAACCCAACAAAGTTGAAAAATCAAGGTCTGAATTTTATTCATTATGAACAGTCAGCCATGAATGGTTGAGACCTTTACCTATTACTTTTAAATAATTTATTCTCATGTATAGAACACAATAGTTTGATTTACTGAACATACATGTATTATTGTGGTGCATGTTTTGAGGTAAATTGTTGTAGATGAAAAGAACAGATGCAGCATTACAAATATGCAATTCACAAGTCACTTGTGTGACTGAAAGTGCTGAATTTTCAATACTTAAAATAGTAAATACAAACACTGATACAGCAAATGAATTACTGTATTCATTTATATCTATAAATTTTCTGATGATTTATAAATTTTTTACTAGTTTTTCCTCTGTTAAGACCTTAAAGTATTCGTATAGGGGGTTAGCAAACTCCCTAGAAAAGTCTCTATGAACATTGCAATATAGCGAGAGACCTTTTTCTTAGCGCTATCAAATGATGTAATGTTATGAAAATAATTTGCTACATTTTGTGACAATCTTACTTTTCTCTGA